GGTGTGTTTTTTCCTACTTCCAAAACCAGACGGTCGTGGGTGGGTTTCAAGACACACCGCTCACTCACGCACTCTCCACTCTTAAGTTAAATAAAAACTTAATTAGTTAGTTAATAATATACATATATATATATATATATATATATATATATATATATATATATATATATATTTTAAACATTCACTAAAAACTATAATCTATTATTTATATATTTCTTAGTATAATCGATAATTAGTAAGTTTTTTAACTTTTAAACAAATCATCTTTTTAGTTTTATAATGTATAATATAAAAAAAACCTTTCATATTCCTTTTTGAAAAACTTATTTATATAGGTTTAAATCTTAAAATTAAATGATAAAATGGTATAATTAGTTTTAATAATTAAATAATAAAATGAGGTGAATGATGATGTGGCATAAGGAGAATAGAGAAAAAGTTAACTTTATATATATAGACTAGTCACTTACTCGCGCTACGCGCGGAAATTTTATTACTTTGTTTATGAGTAATTGATTCATGTTTTATTTCGTACTTATTTTCTCCACTACAACATATTGTTATTTTCTATCTCATGTTGTGTTTGTATAGATGATCTATTTTATTTTAGTTACGATAGTAGTTGAGAAATTAAGTGTCTATAGTATAAATCGATGTGTAAGCTTAAACAGAAGTGTTATGGAGAGTTGTGGAAAAAATATGTTATTAAGGCTCCCACCAAATATAGATCTAGATCTAGATGATGTTAATATTGTGGGTCCTTTTAATATGTTGGTCCAAAAGTTGAGAATCATTTGTGGATTTCGCGCGGATCGTTGTATTTTGTATTTATTGATTTGGCGATCTGTTGTTTATTATCTATTTATATTGGTTTGTTATGTTTTTGTTTGTTATTTTTATTTGTTATTTTTTTATTTGTTATTTAATATACATATTAGTATAATCTACTTTATACTAATTTAACATATTTATTTTATTATAATTACTATTTGAAAGGACTTTTCATTTTTTTTTTTTTGAAAAAACTTGTTTACATGTGTATAAATCTTTAACTTAAATGATAAAATAGTATAAATAAATTATTAAAATGAAATAGTAAAATGATGTGGATGATGTTTGAAAAGACTTTTCATATTTCTTTTTGAAAAACTTGTTTACATGTGTATAAATATTTAGATTAAAGAATAAAATGATATAAATAAATTATTAAAATTAAATAATAAAATGATGTGGATGATGATTAGGATGATGAGGTGGGAGAAAAGAGCAAAGTTAACTTTATATATATAGATTCATATACAAATATACGATATCCAAGTTCAAATGTAACATACATTATACATTACTTGTTTGGTAGATCACGTACGTCTTGAAACAAAACCAATTGCATAAGAAACTATAAATATCAACTATAGATATCTATAAAGTTATCTTCTTATTGATTCACATGTCATATGCCCGGGGAAAAAAAGTAGAGAATCACATGACATATTCCTAATAAGTAGATTCACAAATCTAAAATTGAAAGAGAAAAAAAGAATCACGAAAAATTGGTAAGGTTTTTAACTTTTTATGAAGAAGACCCATATTGAATCTTCTTCTTCATGTTCAAAAATCAAAACTACAAATAGTCTTAAAAAAAACTAGTCGCCACCGGCAGAGCAAATTATTAGGGCAACTTGGCAAACGTAGACGTGTGAGATATCTTAAAAAGCGATAGGGACACGTGTGTAAGAATGATTGGAAGACAGAACTGAAACTGGATTCTGAGACGACGTAGCTAAACAAAACACCATGAGGTTCAACGAAGAAGCACGACCACATCTTGGTCTGGTCCTATCTATGACATGTTCCTACTTCCCCTAACTTCTTTGGTCCTACGTTCTCTCTAATCGTACATCCACTTTTAATATCATTTCTTATCTGTCAATTATTCACATGCATTGCTTTTCTTCTTCTCCTCTCTATTCAGCATTTTTCTTCCTTTAATTCAGAATTTTTAGGCTTTTAACATGTGAAAATATTTCATATATTGCTATCATCACTTTCTCATTAACACCAAACTAACAAATACATTGTATATATTTTTCATCTTTGACCCGATTCACTCTTCATACAACTACAACCAACAGCTAATGGAGTCTTATCTGATTATTATCTAGGTGCATGCTGATTGATTGATTCTTACTTAGCTTGACGATACATATAGAATTAATTGATACTAACTTTATATGACATTTACGTACATGCCTATATACATGTTATGAAGTTAGTACTTTAGCTATCGTCTGTCACACTTTTGTCCTGGCTTTTATGTCTCTGCGATAAGATTGCTTACTCATAGCAGCTGTCTATACGTACTGAGGAAAAATTGTATGTTCGACTATAATTACTCTACAACTACAAGTCAATAATCTATAAATTGTTACTCTGCATGCTTTTACCATGCATATCACACTGTAATATTTACGTAAACCAAAGTTAAATCTTCGAATGTATATGCTTTTGCAAAATAACCATTCATATATATATCCAACTACCAAGATCTCTGTCATAGATTGGAATGTATATAAATGGGGAAAAGTTAAAAAGACAATAGTGAAAAGGAAAGTAAACGACGAAACCGCAACGATTAGAGTGAGTTAACTCAAAGAGATAATGAACCAACATCATAATGAAACGACAAACAAAAGCTTAGAAATAAGATAGAAGAAGCCAATCACAAAATATTACTACATATCAATTGGGTGGATTGGGAGGACCCACGTTAAATAAATTCCAATATATAGACATCTCTCCCAATTGCCATCCATCTCCTTCAATACAGAGCAAACAACAACAAAATATGGCTACAGAAGGAAATAACCCCATCAACATGAACTCAATGTCTTCGAGTCTTCAGAGAACCGGCCAATGGTACGAACCCTTCTAGTTAATTTCACCAATAGATTCACCGCCGGAGATAGTTCCCGGTTGGCTTATCCCCGGACCATCGATCTGACATTCTATCATGTATATATGCATTTTTGTAGGGTTTTTTCTCAAGATATTCCGACAGATGTTATAGTTGAAGTCGGAGAAGCTAATTTCTCTCTTCATAAGGTAAAAAACTCTTGGTTCTTGGTTCTTGAATATTCTTGATTCTTGATTCTTAATTGGTTCTTAAATTTTTCTTGATTTTTTGGTTCAGATAATCTTAAATACAAATTAAAACAATGATTTTAACTGTGTTTTTTCTTTTTGTCGTTTACAACTCATATACGTATACACAACTAGATTTGAATAAGTAATGATAGGACGACCGTATTAATTAGTAGAAAGTATAATTTCTAAACCATTACACAACATGGTCCTAATTTTATGATCGTATGTATAGTTCATGTTAGTTGCGAAGAGTAACTACATAAGGAAGCTAATAATGGAATCAAAAGACAGCGACGTGACGAGAATAGATCTCTCGGATATTCCCGGAGGTCCTGAGATATTCGAGAAAGCTGCTAAGTTCTGTTACGGTGTTAACTTTGAGATCACCGTCCAGAACGTGGCGGCTCTTCATTGCGCCGCTGAGTTTCTACAGATGACCGACAAGTATTGCGACAACAACCTTGCTGGTCGGACACAAGACTTCCTCTCTCAGGTCGCTCTCTCTAGTCTCTCTGGAGCCATTGTTGTCCTTAAGTCTTGTGAGATTCTCCTTCCTATTTCTCGTGATCTCGGTATTGTCCGCCGCTGTGTTGACGTCGTCGGTGCTAAGGTTTTTTTTTTAACTCATAACTCTTCCTTACTTCTTTATAAGTGTTAATTAGATCCCTAATTAGGTTACTAAAATGTTTTCTTTATAATCTGTTTTGAACTTGATAAGGCTTGCAATGAAGCAATGTTTCCATGTCGAACACCACCGAACTGGTGGACAGAGGAGCTTTGTATCTTAGACGTTGCCTTCTTCGCCGACGTTGTAGCTTCAATGAAACAGAGAGGAGTCAAACCATCCTCCCTAGCCTCTGCGATCATCACCTACACAGAGAAATCCTTAAGAGATCTTGTAAGAGACCACTCCGGAAGAGGAGTCAAGTTTTCCGATACCGGGGATAATGAATCCGACGAGAGATCACAACAGAGAGATCTTGTTGAATCAATTGTCTCACTCTTACCTTCAGATAAAGGACTCTTCCCCATAAATTTCCTCTGTTCACTCCTACGTTGTGCCGTCTTCTTGGACACTTCCTTGACCTGCAAGAATGAGCTGGAGAAACGAATCTCAGTCGTACTCGAGCACGTCTCCGTCGATGATCTCTTGATCCCTTCTTTTACCTACGACGGAGAACGGTTACTTGATCTCGACAGTGTCAGAAGAATCATCTCTAGCTTCGTGGAAAAGGAGAAAAACGTTGGTGTTTTCAACGGCGGAGACTTCAACAGAGGACTCTGCTCTGTTTCACTTCAGAGAGTTTCTAAAACAGTTGATTCTTACTTAGCAGAGATCGCTACTTACGGAGAGCTAACGATCTCCAAATTCAACGCGATAGCGAACCTTGTCCCTAAGTCCGCTAGAAAATCAGACGACGATCTCTACAGAGCTATAGACATATTCTTGAAAGCTCATCCGAATCTTGACGAGATCGAAAGAGAGAAAGTGTGTAGCTCAATGGATCCTTTAAAGCTTTCTTACGACGCACGTCTCCACGCTTCACAGAACAAGAGATTACCAGTAAACATAGTTCTTCACGCACTTTACTACGACCAGTTAAAGCTAAGAAGCGGAGTCGAAGACCAGGAAGAAAGAGCAGTGGTTGTTCTCCCGGAAGCTTTAAAGACACGTAGCCAACTTCAAGCTGATACTACGTTAGCTAAAGAGAATGAAGCTTTGAGAAGTGAGCTGATGAAGATGAAGATGTATGTTTCGGATATGCAGAAGAACAAGAACGGTGCAGGAGCTTCTTCTTCGAACTCGTCGTCGTTGGTGAGTAATAAGAAGAGCAAGAATACTTTTTTCTCTTCTGTTTCGAAGAAGCTTGGGAAGTTGAATCCGTTCAAACATGGGTCTAAGGATACTTCGAACATCGATGAAGATCTTGCAGGTGTTGATATTACTAAGCCAAGGAGACGAAGATTCTCAATCTCTTAATGAACACGTCAAGAGTACTTCTGCGTTTTGGTCTGTGTAGTGTGTGTGTTGTGTATAAACCTTTAGTGTAGTGTGCTTTTTTTTGTTTGTTTCATCCTTCTTGATGCGTGATTTTTTTTGTTTTTATTGGTGTGTGTTTAACTCTTTATTGTTTGATGAGTTTGGAAAATAAAAAGAAAATCGAAACCACTAAGCCCAGCTCTATTTTAAGCCCATTAAGGCCCAATATTGAAGTTTCTTGTTCCCGCAAATTTTGTTTCTTCTATTGCAGTACCAATTGTAGCGGACGAATCCCTAGAAACAATGACGATGAAATCGAGTCATGTGATACACCGGCGACGACAACTCTTCGCCGTGAATTTCCACCGGAATTCGACGGATACCTGATTAATCACAGCTGCGACGGCGACAAAATGGAGATTATGGATCACGGGTTAGCCAAATTTTCAACCTTTACTTTGATAGTATCATCTTTGGCTAGTGTTGTGGACTCGTAAGTCGTTTGGTAGACTAGTTTAGATAAGATTGGTGATTGTGAAATTGCTTGTTACAGGAAAAATCTGGACTTGCTAATTTTAGGCCATTTGAAAGAAATTTAGGTTTTATAGGATTACAGAGGAGCTAACAATAGATTAACGAATCATATTTGTTAGGATAGAGCCAGCCTAGATCTCTTGTTAAGAGAATTATGACCCTTGAAGTTATCTTCCAACCAGCTTTCTTGTGATTTGAGAGAGAAAACAAATCTGATTTTCATGAAATCCAAAACAAAGCTCCAATGTCGGAGCTGCTTCCTCCTCCCCCTCCTCCTCCAAGGAGGGACTCTGGATTCGGTGATCCCGCATTGGCTTTCCCTGAGTTTGCTGCAAAGCGATGTGGCCTCGAAAAAGTTGTAGAGGAAGATGGAGAAGGGGAAGATAGCAGCTATGGCAAAGGGTCTTTTGATCTGAGTTCGAGATTCTCAAGCCCTTGTATCTCTCGAAGCGGATTTGATGATGTCGAAAATCCTAGAAAGGCTTCGTCTTTAAAGCTGCCTCCTTCTGGAATGAGGGAGTCCCCGTTGAAACTCTCTGGTTTCCGAGAGGAGGAAGAGGCTGACCGGAGTAGAAACTCGGGTTCCTTTGTGGATCATATTGGTCGGGAGGACAAGAGGATATGCCCGGCTGGATGCTTCAAAAAATGCTGCGCGTGTACCTGCATGTTTGTTTCCATTGTCCTTATAATCGTCGTGTTGACAGGATTGTCTGTGAACACTTCAATCAAATCTAAATTGCCTGAGGTGCTTGTCATGAATCTCAAGTTCTCGAGATTGGATGTCGCCAAATCATCAACAGATCTTCTGATGAATGCGAACTTGAACACGGTTCTTCAGCTCTCTAACAAAAACGACAAGACAGTTCTATATTACAGCCCCATGAAAGCTGATGTCTCTTCTGAGAACATAAACCTCGGAAAGAAAACGCTTCTTGGATTCAAGCAGGACCCGGGAAACATTACCTCTTTAAAGATCCCCACAAGGCTCAGAAAGTCCAAGGTCTATGATGTTGATGCTACATTGCTGACAAACAAAGAGAAGAATCTTGAAGCTGAGGTTGATGTGTTCTTGAGAGGGAAATTGAGTTTTGATTGGTTGGGGTTTAATGTTCATATACCAATTGTTATTGCGTGCGAGGATGTGAAGCAGAGTGATGTGATAAATGGACTCAAGCCTACGTGCGATGTTCGAATATTTACCCAATGAAAACAATGAAAGTGATTAATACACAAAAGACCCCCTGATCCTCTGTTTTGTTTTGTTCTGTTTTTTTTTTTTTTTTTTACTTTTTTGTTTTCGCTAATTTTCTTGTTGTAGATTGAAAACATAGAAAAAGAGAAGTGCTTTAACTCTTGTTTCTCTACAATTACCATCAAGAATCCACAAGTTATATTACTTTTTTCTTTTCACCTCATCATGGTTAATGTTTTCTAAACCATTGACTTGTAAACTATAGTTGTGTGTTGTGTTATGTCCATAAGTTTGTTGAAGGTTTGGTTTGATCTCCCTCACTCTCTCACTCTCTCTCTCTCTCTACCTAGAGGGATGGGATCAAAACACGAATCACAATGAAGCCACATGCATAAATCTTGAGCGTTGAAGATCCGCCATAAATGCTCTCTCGTATATCATTACACAATTATTGAGTCTTCTTCGTTAAAGAAAATAGTACAAAAAGACTTTGAGGAACTTAAAACAAAGCAGGTGAGATGTGAGTTAGATGTGGAGTTAAAAAGACGTGTAGAGATGAAGCGTGTTCACTTCCTTAGCCGCGTTGCCAATATTTTCAATATTCTTGTGAGAAACTAACTAATTTCTTGATTATTATATTTTCGTTTTCTTTAGAGAACGTGAAACATAAATGATTAGATTGTGGTTAGAATGATGAATCATCTTCAAAGTAAGAGGGAATGGGATATAAAGGCTTAGAGAGGCCATTTATTTTTGAGTATTATTCAGTCTCAAGCTTCTTGTCTTTTTTTGCATCGTCTCGGTAAAGTAAGTTTATTTTTCTCTGCAATTTTTGTCTCTTCTTTTTCTTTCTGCTGAAAAAAATAAAGGATAAATGCTTAAACTTATCTTTGGACTTTTAGAGACTTGTGACAAATGCAAATTGGGTTTGTTAAAAACTTCACGTGTCCTCTTTGCCACATGTGGAATCCTCTTTTCTTCTCTGATCTCATCTAATTTGTTTCTTTGGTTTTGTCAAAATTGCTTTGTTCAACTCGAGAGCATATCTTCATTTTGAGAAAGTCTCGAGTCTTTGAACATCAAATTGTCTTTGTTTTTTTCAAATGGCTTAAGTTCTTGATCTTTCTTGTAGGGTTTCTGAATCTTTCTGCACCGCAAGGTCATGGCTTCGTCTGCGGTAAGAAACTGTTGTGATCGCCACTCACCTACGACTTAGAAAGCTCATTAGATCTTTGTGTTGTTTCTCTTGGTCCTAACGTTTACTCACTTTGTATGATGTACTCAGGCTCAGAGCAAGAAGCAGTTTAAGAGGTCTATGACCAAGAAATCACACTCATGGTGGTGGGATAGTCACAACTGTCCCAAGAACTCAAAATGGCTTGCACAGAATCTAGAGAGTATGTTGCTTTACTAAGAATTGAGATCTCCACTTGATGTATATAATTACACAAATGTGACGTTTTCTTTCTTGTTTTTGTTTTGGTTTTTCAGAGATGGATGACCGAGTGAACCACATGTTAAAACTGATTGAAGAAGACGCAGACTCTTTTGCCAAGAAAGCTCAGATGTATTTTCAGAAGCGTCCTGAGTTAATCCAACTTGTTGAGGAATTCTACCGAATGTATCGCGCATTGGCTGAGCGTTATGATCAAGCTAGCGGTGAACTTCAGAAGAATCATCCATCTGAGATCCAGTCACAGAGCTCTCTTGAGCTCTCATCTCCTACTCAAGAGAAGTTGAGTCGTCGTCAGTCTGGTCATAAAGAAGAGGAAGATTCATCATCTTTGACAGATTCTGATTCTGAGTCTGATCATTCCTCTGCTAATGATGAAGACGCTGATGAGGCATTGATCCGCAGGATGGCTAATCTTGAGCTTGAGCTTGAAGAGACAAAGCAGAAGCTCCTTCTCCAGCAGGAAAGTGACAACAATGTTAACCTCCTTCACAAAATTACTGTGTATGAGGGAGAGCTTGGAGAAGCCAATGAAAAGATTCGAATGCACGAAGAAGAGATAGCTAATCTGAAGATTGAGCTTCAGGGCTGCATGTCCACTGAAATAGACGATCCTCAAAAGAGTCTTGATTTGGATAAAGAGGACACTGAAGAAAATGCTGCCACAAAAGTGCAGGCCTTGGAGGAAGAGCTAAGTATTGCAAAAGAGAAGCTTCAGCAGTTTGAGAAAGAGACAAAATCTCTAAAAAATGAGCTAGAGATCAGTAGAGCTGCGGAAGAGAAGCTGAAGAACTTACAGCATGAGCTTGTGTTGGCTCAGAAAGACACTGATAGCTACAGAAACACGCTCAACGCAGAGAAGAAAGAAGTCTCAAAGTTGCAAGAGAGACTGGCTATGGTGAAAACCAGTTTACAGGACAGAGATAACGAGATAAGGGCACTGAAAACTGCTGTCTCTGATGCTGAACAAAAGATATTCCCAGAGAAGGCACAGATCAAAGGAGAAATGTCAAAGCTTCTTGAAGAGCGAAGCCAACTTGGAGAGCAACTGAGAGAGCTGGAATCACATATAAGGCTGATTACAGAAGAGAAAGCTGAAACTGAGGAGAAACTTAGAGGAGAATCCAAGAAGGTTAGCGTAATGAAAGATGAGAGCAATGTGCTAAGAGAAGAGATTGGGAAGAGAGAAGAGAAGATAAAGGAAATGGAAAAACATATGGAGGAGCTTCACATGGAGCAAGTGAGGCTGAGAAGACGGTCAAGTGAGCTAACGGAAGAAGTGGAAAAGACGAGATTGGGTGCATCAGAAGTGGCTGAGCAGAAAAGAGAAGCAATAAGGCAGCTTTGTATCTCACTTGACCATTACAGAGATGGGTACGACAGGCTGTGGAGGGTTGTTGCAGGACACAAGAATAAGAGAGTAGTGGTCTTAGCAACGTGAAGTGTAAAAGAACAAATGACAATGTCTGCAGGACATACAATACTAGTGTGTTCTTTTGGACTTTAAAATGTTGTTCTGAAGGGACGTTAGTTGATGTTGAAAATATGTTGAATGGAGATGAAAAATGTATGTGTTGATATAATAACAAAACTAATGGTAATATTCTCATTCTTCCAAAACTCATTCTTAAGACCGTAATTAACCGAGCAACCGAACTAACCTAGTTTCAGCAACATTTTCAAAACAACTGAATAACCGAACAAACCGAACCGAACAAACCAAAGTCCCAAGACTAAAACATAACTGATAAGCTAGACAATTTTGGTGTAAAAAGGTCCATGTTAAAAAGTATCAATGGGTCCAACTGTCCAAGTAAGGAAAGGCCCATGAAAGAATCATGATTGAGAAAAGAAGGTGACGTTGAATGTTTAAAAAACACACGAGGAGAGAACGTATGGTGGTGACAAAATATATGGGCAATGGTGTTGGTGGTGGATATGGTAAGGTGGTAGGTAGCACCATTTTGTTTTCCCCAATGTCGCTGTCTCTCGTGGTAATGGTAGGTGTATCTCTTTATACTTTCATTACTATTTCTTTTTATTTTTTTCCTCTCAATCCTATCCCTACTATAGTAAAAGAGAAGTACAAAAGTTTCTTGGGTCGGATTTTTTTAAAAAATTAACCCGAAATTTTTCAATTGGATCTTACTAAAAATTTAAAGATATTAAATACCAGTTTCCATATATATTATTTCGAAATCTACCAAATTAAACCATCAATATCGGTTTTGGAAAGTACATTAATCTTAATTTGTTTAAGGAAAAATACATTAATGTATGATTTTGTATATTGGTTTAACAAATTAACCTAAAAATCAGAAATATAAGTTAAATATAAAATATTTATCAAATTATCCATAATATTTCAAAACAAAATGTTCCTTAAATATTTTATATTAATATTTAGATGTATACTTTTCTCCTATATTAACTATGATCTTCACACCAATTACGGGATAATTCATTTTCAACCATCTTTAATATATTTATTTGGCAATACTTTTGAATTTCTGGCTTGATTATAAAGCTAATCTTTTTTTCAACGCTAACCTAACTCTAAGAAGTTTCTGCTACCAGAAAATTGTAACATAAACACATATTTTACATTTTAACACGATACGAAATAAGAAATCATTGGCTCTTTATTTGTTTATTCTAGAGATTTGCAATTTTACAAAACTGCATGAAAGGTCCAAGTTAAAATCATGTATTTATGATTATGCGGTGTACCGCGGGTCAATCCCTAAACTTTAAAAATGATTCATATAGTATAATATTTATACATGTATATATGTCACATATTGTTCTAAAATTAACAATCCAACTAAAATCATACAATTTAAATAATTTTGAACATATTCGAAACCAACACAAAAATACAATCTAAAAATGATAGAATTTAATTAATAATCAAAATAAAGTAAAGCAAACACAAATAAATTATCCCGCAATGTACAAAGGATTAAAAACCCGGTAATTTTCCTCCGCGCTGTAGCGCGGGTCCGAATCTAGTTATATAGTTTAAAATGACGACCTCAAGAGATAGGCTAAAGGCAAAAGTACTATAATTATAAATTTGAAGTCAAAAGAGTGGTTGTTGCTAAAATTGACTCTCGACATTAAAAAGAGAGAGAGGAGAGAGCTCATGCCTCATGGGTCTCTCACGGTGATGGATGCGCCAAATCCTAAGTCTTGTACTGTGCCGCGCGTATATTTTAGCCACCACTACTTATGTTTCCATATATATTCTTTTTAAATAATAAGAAAACTATCAAATTTTTTTTTTTGATGTCAAAAAAAAAAAAAAACTGTAAATATTTTTTTTTTTTGTAAACGGCGTCAAATATGACGTTATCTCAAAGACTATTCAAATCTCTGACATATGCTCGTGTTTTGTTCTTCTTTCTCTCCCGCCGTGACGGATTTGTGTTTCTTTCTTTTTCTTTTTTCGTGTGAATTCTTATTGTTGGAAATTTTCGTCGCTTTTATGCAATTTTTTGACCATATTAGTGTGGTCAGGTGAGTTTTTTTTTTTTTTTTCACACTATTATTATATTAAAAAGTTGGGGAAAAAACAAATATTTGTTATGTGATAAAAACTAAAAAGAAGTCATCAGAATTCATATTTGATTTCAAACTAATATTTTCGATTTTATTGACTTTAGAGACTCAAACGTAATGCTGCACCGTGTCTCCCATTCATCAAATTATGAAAATTTTGTTGTCATCTGATTGAAACTTGTTTGTTTTGGAGTCAAATTACGATGCAAATAAACCCAAAATAAAGAAACTAACTCGGCGGATCATTGAAATGTCTCTAAACACTAAGCTGGAAGAAAACAAAAAATCTCCACAATCTAAGCCCTACGATAAGGAAACATTGACACTTAACTTACAACCAAATTCGAAAGAAATCGAAATCATAAACTAATATTAATAACAACCTGGTTTATCCAACAAGCAGATCGACTTCTTCTTTGCGAAATACCTATGAAGAATGAGATTTACTGCTAATCTAGTAATAATATCAGCTTTCTCCTATTATGATAAGAGATAAACTCTCAAAATCAAGTAACCAAGACTTAATAACCCGACAAATAATTGCCAAATATTAAACCTTTTAAAACACTTTCAAAACTAATAAACCGTTTCCACCGCGGTTGGAAGTGTTTTTTGCCAATTATCGGAAAAACACAAAATATCGCTTTTTCAATTAAAAAGTCTTTTACGTTCATAACCAAAACGGTCATAAATTCATAATTAATGAACCTTTTTCCAATTATCGAAAAACACAAAATACCGCTTTTCCAATTAAAAAGTCTTTTACATTCATAAACAAAACGATTATAAATTCATAATTAATGAACTGTGTCCGCTGCATCTGGAAGTGTTTCATGCCAATTACTGAAAAACACAAAATATCGCTTTTTCGATTAAAAAGTCCTTTACAGTCATAACAAAAACGGTCATAAGTTCATAATTAATAAACCGTCTCCGCCGCATCTGGAAGTGTTTTTTTTTTGCTAATTATTGAAAAAACCACAAAAAATCGCTTTTTCGTTTAAAAACAGTCTTTTACATTCCCCTAATATGAAACTTTTTAATCAGATTAAAATAAAAAGTCAAAAACAATTGGCAAAAAGTTTTGCACATTGTACAAAAATCATCTATAATAAGTTAGTTTAGCTTTATAATTAGGGATTAAATGTCCCGCCTAATCGAGTATTTGTGTTTAGGAATTATTTTTTCATATATACTTAAAAGTTTGTATTTACCACAATCAACATTGTTCCAAACTATAGATGTCATACATGTGTAATTTAGAAACTTAGGGATCCCCAGTTAATATAAATATTTTTTGGTGTGTTAAAAAATATTATCAAGCACATTATTATTTACTTACACATGCTAAAAGATGATCATCATTATTAACCACAATCTTTTTGTTCTACCATGATCTAACTCAATCTAATATCCATTTTTCATTATGTAGAGTATAGTGAGTGATATGTTTATTGCTCTTGCTTTGTTTGCTTAATTTGAAGAGAAAATTGTGGGCTATGCCCTCTACAGTAACAAAATTTTTATGGAATGCCATTATGAAAAACATCTTCTCCCGCCTGCCACAAGATTATTGTTAAAAAACCATTGTACCCCTGTCCTAATTGGTTGCTTGTGATTGTTTTTATTTTATTTTATTATCTCTCTTTCTTTTTCATCTTCTTCTTCTTCCAACAACAACCAGTTCCAGTGGACCAGATCCGACAGACGAACTCCGGCGGACCAGATCCGGCAGACCATAGTCAATTCTGGTGATTATAACCAGTTTCAGCAGACCAGATTTGAGGAACCAGTTCCGACAGACCATAACTCCAGCGGACGAGTTCTGACAGACCACAGTCAGTTCTGAAGAACTATAACCAGTTCAAGCAGACCAGGTTCAACGGACCAGTTTCGACCAACCAGAAAGACGAGTTCTGATAGACCAAATATGGCGGACGAGTTCAGGCAAACCATAATCAGTTTCTACGAACTTTAACCAGATCCGGCAGCGGAGACTCGGCGGACCAGATAGACCAGTTACGATAGACTAGTTGTGATAAACCAGATCCGGCGAATCATTTTTCGGCGGACAAAAACTAGTTAAGATAGACTTGTTCTATGTGACAAAAACCGGCGGACCAGTTATGGTGACCTGATTCGGCGGACCAGCTAGACGATGAAACAAGTGATGCGGTTATTACACTATGGACAATACATTTTTCTGTAGATGGACAAGATTTGGGC